AACGTTGAACTCTATTTATTTGAATCAGCAGAATCACGAATCATTATAATTCTCCACCCTAAACTTTACTTGTTTAGAATCAGCAGAATCACGAATCATTATAATTCTCCACCCTGAATTTTACTTGCTTAGAATCAGCAGAATCACGAATCATTATAATTCTCCACCCTGAACGTTACTTGTTTAGAATCAGCAGAATCACGAATCATTATAATTCTCCACCCTGAACTTTACTTGTTTAGAATCAGCAGAATCACGAATCATTATAATTCTCCACCCTGAACTTTACTTGTTTAGAATGAGCAGAATCACGAATCATTATAATTCTCCACCCTGAACTTTACTTGTTTAGAATCAGCAGAATCACGAATCATTATAATTCTCCACTCTGAACTTTACTTGTTTAGAATCAGCAGAATCACGAATCATTATAATATTCCACCCCGAACTGCCCTTATTTGGAATCACTAGACTCCTAAATCTGCAGTTCTCCACCCTGAGTTCTACTCACTATAGGAAATCTAACAGTCGAAATCACATTACATTCGGTCTGAACGTAGCGAGCTGTATTGGATGTATTTCCCAATCTCAAGAGCGTGGTAGATCCAACATACTACTTTGCACAGTAAGGACATAAAAACACACAATATATCTTACTCACTGGAGTCGTAACAGGTTTCGACATGCATCTAACTCTAACCGGTAGATGTACTATGCCTAAAGATAGTAAACTATTTTTTTACCGCCGTTAGGTCAACGGTAAGCTTATGGAGCGTGGTAGACCCAACATACTACTTTGCACAGTAAGGACATAAAAACACACAATATATCTTACTCTCTGGAGTCGTAACAGGTTTCGACATGCATCTAAATCTAACCTGTAGATGTACTATGCCTAAAGACAGTAAACTTTTTTTTTTACCGCCGTTAGGTCAACGGTAAGTTTATGGAATTACGATGCTAAAACCTGGGGTTCGCTTCTCAGCGATGGAGTACGTGCAGGTAGACCATTGTGTAGCTTTGCGCTAAAACAAACAAGCAATTTTTTTATTCAGAGACGTCCAGCATTATCTCGTTTAACGTAAAAACCACAACTACTGGTACGTTTGGAACGACCAACTACACGAATTTAAAGGTAGCAGCTTTGTTTAGCTATTCACAGGCTATGTTATCAAAAAATCCGGTATAAAATTGATAAAGATTCAAAAACGGACAAATGAAATCAATTGCAATCATTCTGAAAGTTTATTTGTTTGAGATATTCGCGCAAAGCTACACAAGGTATATCTGCGCTAGTGCTCTCTAATCTGTAATTAACGTACTAGAGGTGAAACCAACAGGTGAGTAAGCAGTACCCACCACCAACTTTTGGGCTACTATTATCCAAAAGTGAGATTTGACCGTCATTCTTATGACGCATCCACCTCCCAAAGTGCTGGCCCCCCAGTGGCACAGTGGTATGTCTGCGGACTTATACTGCTAGAAACCGGGTTTTCATACCCA